TCCTCGGCCGCCCATGAGGTGAGCGGCGCGTTCCCCTCTGCGGTGCTGCGGGAATGTCCTGACGCCAAAGGTGCTGCCGCGGGAGGCGATGCCCCCAAAATGCGGGAATTCTTCCCGTCGGGAAGAGAAAAAAATCTGGGATGCGACGGGGGTTGGGGTGCTTTGGGGCAGAGAGGAGCGGGAGCCGGGAAAATCCCGGATTTCTGCAGGTGCGGGGAGCGGGAAAGGGGGAATTATCCTGGAAACACAACTTGGGGAAAGCTCATTTCTTTCCTTCCCTTCCCTCCCTTCCTTTCCTTCCCTCATGATGCAACGGAGGGGAAGGATTGCTGGGGGAGGTGGGAGCCGCTGGAATTTTGGGAAAACCTGCCCGTGGTGGGGGAGAGGCTGGGCTGCTTCCAGTGCCTGATCGTAAATCCTGATCCCAGACCCTGATCCCAAATCCTGATCCCAGACCCTGATCCCAAACCCCGATCCCAGACCCTGATCCCAAATCCTGATCCCAGACCCCGATCCCAGACCCCGATCCCAGACCCCGATCCCAAATCCTGATCCCAGACCCCGATCCCAGACCCCAATCCCAAATCCTGATCCCAAACCCAGGTGCAAGTCCCAGCACTGTTCCCGTGTCCCCTGTGCCATGCCACCGCAGGATCCCAGCACAGGATCCCGCGGCAGATCCCGGATCGCAGCAGGATCCCACAGCCAGATCCCCCATTTCCACCTTGGCGCCATTCCCAGCCTTACACAACAGGCGCCACATTCCCCAAATCCCGAATTTCCAATTTCTCAAATTCCCGAAACCCTGAATTCTCAGATTCCCAGATTCCCAGATTCCCAGGTTCCTGAAATCCCAAATCCTGGATTCCCAGATTCCCAAATTCCTGAAATCCCGAATTCCCAGATTCCCAGGTTCCTGAAATCCCAGATTCCCAAATTGCCAGATTCACAGCTTCTGTAATTCCCAGATTCCCGGGATCCCTCGGGCAGGGAAGGAGCCGGGCTGAGGCCGGGATAATCCCGTTTCCACGGCAACCGGCGCCATTCCCAGATTCCCGCATCCACCGGGATCTTCTCCTGCCTTTCCTCCCTGGCTGCTCCCGGCACGGAGCGCGGGGGAGGTGGGAGATCCGGGGATCCAGGGATCCGGGGATCCAGGGATCTGGGGATCCGGGGATTCGGGGATCCAGGTATATGGAAATACAGGGATCTGGGAATACAGGGATCCAGGGATCTGGGAATCCGGGGATCTGGGAATACAGGGATCCAGGGATCTGGGAATCCGGGGGTCTGGGAATCCGGGGATCCGGGGATCCAGGGATACGGGGATGCAGGTATATGGAAATACAGGGATCTGGGAATACAGGGATCCAGGGATCTGGGAATCCGGGGGTCTGGGAATCCAGGGATCTGGGAATACAGGGATCCAGGGATCTGGGAATCCGGGGGTCTGGGAATCCAGGGATCTGGGAATACAGGGATCCAGGGATCTGGGAATCCGGGGGTCTGGGAATCCGGGGATCTGGGAATCCGGGGATCCAGGGACACGGGGATCCAGGTATATGGAAATACAGGGATCTGGGAATCCAGGAATCCAGGGATCTGGGAATCCGGGGGTCTGGGAATCCGGGGATCTTGGAATCCGGGGATCCAGGGACACGGGGATCCAGGTATATGGAAATACAGGGATCTGGGAATCCAGGAATCCAGGGATCTGGGAATCCGGGGGTCTGGGAATCCGGGGATCTGGGGATCCGGGGATCCGGGGATCCAGGGACACGGGGATCCAGGTATATGGAAATACAGGGATCTGGGAATACAGGGATCCAGGGATCTGGGAATCCGGGGGTCTGGGAATCCGGGGATCTGGGAATCCAGGGATCTGGGAATACAGGGATCCAGGGATCTGGGAACGGGATCTTGCAGGAATGGGAACTGGGATCCCACAGGAATGGGAACTGGGATCCCACAGGAATGGGAATGGGATTGTGCAGGAATGTGAACTGGGAATGGGATCCCGCAGGAATGGGATCCCACATGGGATCCCGCGGGATCGGCGCTCGGGTCCTGCTCTCTTTCCCGCTGCCATCAATAATTCACCGCGTTCCTTTTCCCTCAGCCATAATTAACCCATTCCTGACCTCCATGCCCCCATTCCCACCAGCTTTTCCCCGGAATATCCCCAAAATCCAAATTCCAGGAGCGAGCTTTGGGAACAGCTGGGATAATCCCACTCCCAGGATGGGATTATCATTCTTTAGTTTATTTTGAGGTGGGATTTCAATTAAATTTTAATTCCCACCTCGGATGCTGCTTCTGACCGCAGCCGTGTTCATATTTAATGAGATAAATATTTCAATTTTGTGGGATAAATATTTCTATTTAATGGGATATATATTTACCTTTCATGGGAAAAATAATGAATTCCTGTGGCTGGAGCTTCCCTATGCTCCACATTTCTTGGGGAAAATGGGAATTTTCTGTACCAAACAGGCTTTTTTTTCCCAGGTTTTTTCCTTCAGTCAGAACAAATCCCTTTTCCAAAGGCTGTGATGGGAACTTGAGGGGACAGAAAAGAGCAGGATAGGGAATTTTCCATGTTTCCATGTTTTTCCATATTTTTCCATATTTTCCCACATTTCCCCCATTTTTCCAGGGATTACCATGCTGAACAACATCACTGACAGGTTCCCATTGCCAAAACCCTCTCCTGGAATTGGGGCTGAATCCCATTTCCCCCTAATTTCCCCCCATTTTTTTCCCATTT